ACTGAGCCTCTCCAGAGGCAAAGGAGACCTCTGTGCATTACTTTTCTCCTGGAGGACTTGCACTCAGCTCTACCATACACTTCCCACCCTGCCAAAAATAATGTAAACAAGGTCCTTCTGTTCAGTCTGTAGCCAAAGAAATCCTTGTTTGTTTTGAACAACTCTGGCCCTGATGATAAGGATTGTTAGAGCACCTTTATTTTTCTTTCACTTGTGCTGCATTTAATGGCTGGTAGATGGTGTGTTCCCCTGTATCTGTATCTACAGGTCAAACTCCTGAGCACAGCTTGAAGGGCTGCAATCCTACATTTAGGGGAGTGTGAGCTTTAAAGCAAAATATGCTGGGTACACTGACAGCCCTGCAGCAGTGTAGGTGCCTCTTGTAGACAATGTGTGCAGCTCTGTGAAAGGAGAAGGATGCTTTTACTTCTTTCTTCAGCTGCCTTCTTCATATAGACAATTATGAGCAGCTGGAGGACAGAAGGGCATCCAGTTGGTAGAAGGCGAAGTTTTAAAACATGATAATTGCTTTTGCTGCAGAGAATTGTTTTAATGTGATTTAGGATTAACTTCATATTTCAGAGTGCCTTCATTTTATTGTAATTTTTTTTTTTTAGTATTACTTGATTCAAAAGCATCTAAACACATCATGTGATGGGAAACCTTTTTCACTAGCATAACTAAAAAACATACAATGAGGTTGTGGTCAAACTTCCTAAAACATTTTACCTCCAGAGCTAAGACCACGCACTGAAATGGGAGATTATAATAAAAGTCCAGACATAACCTTGATGATAGCTTCTGTTGTTTTGAAAGCTATAATATAGGGTAACTACTTGTACCAGCCCAGCAAATGGAGTATTTCTTTTGTCCCTGACATATACAAAAGATCCCTTTGGGCTAGGAAAACATCTTTGGGTTCCGAATGACCAAAAGAAATGTTAAAAAAAGGGGAATAAAATTACAAGAGAAAAAGACTTATTGACTCCATCTAGTTCAGTGAGATACCAAAATAGCAAGAAAATTCTGCCAAACCTCTAACGCCACAAGGTTCATTCATTCCCTGATCTGATCTGGTGTTTTTCATTCCACACTGGGATAGAAATTTTCACTAACCCCTCCCGGAGCTGCACAAATTGTTGTGCATTGTCTGCTCTTTCTCTGCTGGGAACACCTCTGGTTATAGAAAAATAAGAGCAACAAAGAACACTTGGGGGAGGGAAAGAAAGAGAAAAGAATGGTTATGTGGAAAAGCCCGAAGACAGGAGAAGCTGAAGGGATATACAAAATGAGAAGGAAAACACAGCAGAAGGAGAAGAGGCGAAGGTGATGAGAGGAATAGAGGCGGCCCTCAGAATGAAAAGGAGATTATGAAGAGGTATTTTGTTTTCCCATCCATCTGTTAGAAGCAGAGAAAGTCATACAACAGCACTTCTCATTTCATTGTGCATTTGGTGGAATTCTCCCATCTGGTTTGACATGCCAGCTGAATCTACAATCCACCCTGAAGCCTCTACAAATATGTCAATCAAAATGACCTGCTGGGAAAGCTGTGAGAAGGCACTCTTTTGTGTTATCCTCACATGCATGTTAGACCCACACAGAAACCCTGCTGTATCTTAGTTTCAATCACAGGACATTGGAAAGCTCCTGCAGATGTTATTTTTGCCATGCAAGTAAAGGAATATTGTGATGTGACTAAACCATGAAAGATGAGGAAAAGCCATGAAATGGAGTCTGGTGTGTGAGCTAGCAGAGGGGGATCAGTCACACATGGGAGGCTGTGACACAGGAAAAGCTCAGCACTCTTACATGACTCATCCTGGAACCACAGAGACAGCCAGCTTTGCAAATACTGCTAGAGAGCCGATGACGAAATTGCTGCAGCCAATCCAGATGTTCCTATAAAGAAGCCCTTCAAGAAACTCCTGGAGCATCAGTGATGGCCAAAGAAAACTTCCCCATTATACCACAGAGCAATTTAAACAAGTTTTACCATCCAGCTGCAGGAACTATCTCGGTGTTATGATCTTTCTTTCGTGCGTTTCAGATGTTCTTGGACTCACAAAGTCAGTTCCCTGATTCAATAGCAGGTCTAAATCCTTCACCTCACAGGAAGTTTGAGGAATAGCTTCACTGTACTGCAATTTAAGTCTAGATTTAGTTCAATTCTGAGGAAGCTTCCAGACATATAAGACCTGCTTGATCTGTCATTGCCAAGCTGGGATTTATCCAGACGCTCAGTTGTATTTGCCTGTCTTAGAGCTGTCTCTTACCAGTGCTCACAGTATGTGCAAAAGGTAAATGATAGTTGTTCACGTTTGCATAACACTTTTCAAATGACAAATACTTGGTCTGCCAGCTGGTACTGCAGGTACCATGAAACTTTAAGCTACAGAAAAGTAATTTGAGAAGCCTGCCCAGTAAAATATCAGATTTTTTTTGTCACCTCATGGCCAAACTTTCAAAGGAGAGCCTGAATAAAAACCCTCTATTTTCTCAAGATCATTTCATGCTGCTAGCTTTTCATTTTCATATGTTTCCTCCACATTTCTATTCTCATCAGACATAGTGGGAGGGAGTCCTATTTTATTTTTTCCAAGCAAATAATGCAATTAATTGTAATTCTATGTTGTAAGTTGCCCTCAAGTGAGAGATTCTGACATTTCTGTGAAAAGGACAAAATCAGTATTTTCACATTTCTTGTGTACACAGTTATACAAGTGAAATCAGAATTATCTTGTGAGCATGCTGAGAAGGAAGGGCGGCAGTGGGACACCCACCATGTTAGGAAGCAGTGATGTAGGTAGAGTGGTAGGGTGGGGCCCACCAAACATACAACTAATACATAATAAAGAGGTACTATTTGTTACTTCCACGGACAGGTAGACTCTTGAACATGATTTTCTTTACATCCTTCATACCAACTTAGAGAAAAGCATAAATGCCCTGTAGCCGTGCTCCCACCTCCTGATTCTGAACACTGGATGTTGATGATTTCTCATTAGTATTGTACTCCTGACACCTGGCTTTCTGCAAAAGCAAACTGGCATACAGCTCCATTTAGGGCTCTTCTGTGATGAAAGGCACATTATTTCAGAATAGCCAAAACCTTATCAGGGGATGCCTTAGGAAATATTGCCACTATTTCCTTCTGACAGGTAGTCACAACTTAAATAAATGTGTCTGGGTAGAAAATTGATACAGCAATGATCACTCATACATGACCCCTGATAGAATCCTTGGATGCTTCACTGATTAATTCATTTCAGCTTTAACCACTGGCACTGCTGAAGTTAGTTAAGTTTTCAATTGGCCTGCAATTGGATCTTAATCATCCATCTCAAAGGTATGGGGAGACAGTTTGAGCCAACCTGATGACTCACTGTCATGCTAAGCAGGTCACACTTGTCCAGAAGGGTTGCGTAAGGCTGGGGGAAGGGAGGGAGCTCTCCAGAATGATGCTAAACTGATCTGTGCTGATCTCAATCAAGCCTCTGTCCAGCAGTAAATCAGATCCTGTGACACAAGTAATTGAAATAGAAATCTGGTGTCTTTGTGAGCTGAAGACTGTTCCTTTCTTTAGATGGCAGACTGGTAAAATGATGCCTCGTGTAAACTGTAGTGGAAATAGTTTTAGTAAGGCCCACTGTATCAAACAGATTTTCTGTTCATAGTGAGAACATTGAAAGTACCATTGGAATTGATTTTTTTTTGTCAGGTTCTGATAATAGGACTGCCATCTCTCTCATGCATCTTCTGAGAAAACCAAGAACCTCTGGTTTAGAAGAAATTGGAAGAAGTTCACTAGGGTCCAGTTTGTGCTTTCTGTATTTATATTGGAGGTTTGAGCATTGGTAAATAGGTTTTTTAAATCTGAATAAATTAAACAGCCTCTTGACTTTTTCTCCTAGAGAATGTTTCATCCCTTCAGGAGACTTCCTTGCTACCTCACTTCACAATATTCCACTCTCCACTCCCTATCAGATAACCAAGGCAAAGTTTTAAATAGGGGAAGCATGGGACCAGCTACACAGCCTCATATGGGAGAGCTGCTCCCTGTTTTCTCCTTTCCTGACATGTGATCAGATGCACAGAGGCCATGTGCCAAAAATGCCACCACCCTGCATCATGTGAGGGGCACGTATGCAGTGGCATAATGGGGAATAACTTTCAGTCATGTGCTCATCTCCCTCCCTGTCACTTGATGGAAGGAAGGGCTGTGGGGACTTGGAAAAGTTGACAGCAACAAAAAACTAACAGAAAAATTATTCCACTCTGCAGAACACTCCCTCTTCAGCCACCTCCAAAAACAGTTTCAAGTGACACTTCTTTCGACTAATGGGCAGCTGGGAGGCTGTCCTAGCAGAGAATGCCTTGGCTGTGTCTTCTGTCTTCATCATCACGTGGCTGAACTACACCAAGGTCACAGACTTTGTGAAGAAGCCTTTAACCCACAGGAAATTCTGGTCACATACAGAGGGGAACAGGCTACCATTTCATCCATACAGGTTGGTGAGCCATGATGTCTGATTCCCCCTGTGCTCAGGGTGTGTACTCCAAAGATCTGCAGAATGTGAATAAGGATATAGGAAATTCAGATAAACATCTTCTTTACTATCTGCTCCTCCACATGTCCACCATGCTTTTTGATACACTCTTCTCTAATAGAGACATGTAGCAGAATATTCTTTTTATATTTTAAAATAAGAAAAAAATACAATCAAAGGGTTTCTCCCCATGAAGCAACCATTTGTCTTCCAGCAGCAGCTTCTTCCACTTTTGTCTCCACTGTTGAGGATCACTTCCTTCACCCCTGTGTAATATATGGTAGGGATAATTCATGCTGTTAAAGTATGGTATAAAATATTGTGAAAACCAAACCATGTCTTTTGATTACCCTGGCAGGGAGCAGCTGTCTTATTTAGATTCAACTAGTTCCCGGACGCACGTTAAGGTAACCATCGACACTTTAACGTAAGAATAGAAGCTTCCGAGCAATGATTGATGATTGCCCTGCCGACTGCATCTGTCGAGATAACCAATGGCGTCACCCTGATACATCTGAATACATGGCTCCTCCAAAGCCGATTGACACCAATGGCACACCTGGACGAGGTTTTTGTCCGCCTCTGCACCTGGAAAGCAACATGTGCAGAGATGCATGTGAAGAGACACAAAGAAAATTCGGTCATCTTTGCTTCGGGCAGAATAAACTGTATAAAACCTCGCTGCGCAGAGCCACGAGTATGAAGGAAAGAGACTCTGACACTCAGGTGGTCTGATCCGAGTTCTCCCGGTGCCAATCCTGGGCCTGACACTGTCTTTTTGGCTGTGGTGGTTTCAAAGACTGAGCTTCGGTCTCACAGACAAATTAATAAATCTTTGCTAAATTTTTGATAATTTTGGCTCACGATTTGATAATTTATAACACCTGCATCCTCTGAGCCATCTCCAGTACTGTTTATGGTATGCTTCCTTGGATCTACATCCTTTCTGTGTAAGAAAAGATGATATCTTCATTTTGGTTTTTTGGGGACAAATACAGGACCTATCTGAGCAAGATGCAAGGAACTGCATATGCAGTGAGTATGGCTGATGCTATAATAAAGGGGAGAGTACATGCAACTTGTATCAGTTATGATCCTTCTTCTGCCTCCTCTCTTTGTCTCCATTATAATTTTATTTGGAAGGGGATTATTTTGTGGGTTTTGTATCACATTTAGCATGGAGAGATCTTCATCCCATCACACAGGCCTCTGAGGTTATAAGCACAATTATGACAGTGATATATAGAGGATGAAATCTACCGTGCCATTCCTGTTACTTCACATGTTCCCAGACAAGCAATGGGAGAAGTTTGGGAGCCTCTGTTTTAGTAAAAGATGATGTAAGGATGATTGTTCCTTCAAGGCTTTGTTATCTACAAGTTTAGGCACCTCAGTTCATTACATTCTTGAATTGTATTTCCCCATCAGACCATTGCTTGTTTGAACTCTTTGGATTTTCTGTTCTGTTTGTTTCTTTGAGGTGTCTGCTCTGTCACTCTTCCCTGTGAGTTACCTTCCTCTTCATGTCACAGTGCTTCTCTTCTAACCAAAAACTGACCATAGGTGCAGGCTGCAATGCAGCTACTAAGCTATACTCAGAGCTGTGACAAAGGGGCATCGGGCAAGGAACTCTCTAGAGAGCATTGGCTTTAGTGGAGAGAATTCAGTGTATCATGGGTTGATGTTTCACAGGATGAACCACATGAGTTCAAAACAACGTCATCAGTTTCAGGGGTTTAGCTTGGGCAAGATATTAAATAAATATATAAACATTCACTATTTCTGAATCACTTTTTTTTAAGGAGAAATTTTGGTTGTTAATTTTTTTTAAGACACCATCCAAAGTAAGGCCGCAAAAATGGAGCTTTGAGCAGAAGCCTTGTGAGGAGAAGCTGAGGTCACTTGGTCGGTTCAGCCTGAAGGAGACTGAGGGGAGAGCTCACTGCAGTCTGAAACTTCTTTGAGAGGGGAAAAGGAGAGGCAGGCACTGATCTCTTTGTGGTGACCAGTGACAGGATCCGAAGAAATGGCCTGACTTGTGTCAGTTTAGATTGGATATTAGGAAAAGGTTCTTTCACCCAGAGGGTGGTTGGGCACTGGAACAGCTCCCCAGGGAAGTGGTCACAGCACCCAGCCTGACAGAGTTCAAGAAGCATCTGTACATTCTCAGGCACCATGGTGTGACTCTTGGGGTCTCCTGTGTAAGGCGAGGAGTTGGACTCAATAATCCCTGTGGGTGTCTTCCAACTCAGGATATTCTGTGATCCTATGATTTGTGTTTTGTTTTGGGAACAGAAATGAATGTTGAAATATTAGAATTTCTCAGAATGTCATGCCGTGTAAATAAATTGTGTCCTGTTTCAGTTCCTTCTGATGGGAACTGTTCATTAGTAACCAACTGAGAAGCTCTGCTGAATTTTGCTGAAACGGAAGGACAGACATTATGTCTGTTCCCACCACTCATCACAAAGTGGCTTTGTAGCTTTTGGGCCAAGCTGAAATGCCAGTGTGTGAGCTGCAGCATCTAACCGCAGATGTACTTCCTATCCTTGCACTTCTGCTAAAACAGGTGATGCCTCCAGAAAAGGACCGAAGCAGAAATGCCAGGGGAAAGTGGTTCCTTTGGCCATCTCAGCACATGAAGTTCCTGCACTTGCTGTACTGCTGAACTTGCATTCCAGGAGACACATATGATCCCCTCACATGAAAGCCATTGCCAAAATACTTCTGTGGTTGGCCTTTGGTTTTGCAACATGGATTTCTTCGCCCTCCCCTCACCTGGTAGTGTGTGAGTTTTTGTTCCCTGACATCTGGCAGAACTCTGTGATATAACTTTGTGTAATGTAAGTGTGATGGAACAGTAATAAAAGAGGAATTTAGGTTTGAGTTTGTGTGGGCATTCCAGTATTTAGCTTTTAATTTCTGCACCAATGTTTGGAATGAGTTAAAAATACTTCCAATATGAAAACAAAATATACCTGACAATTTTTTTTAATTAATTCACTGAGAATAAGAGTGTCCTTTCTATATTTATAGGCTATCATGATTTGCTGAAGTGGCACTGTTAATGATAATGATAATTATTTGCATATAAGACTAACTGAACAGTCAGAGTTTATTTCTGTGCTGAATCACTTTTCTATAGGCCACCTTGTGAACCACATTTCTTTTCCTTAGCTGATTATTCTTCTCAATATAATTTACTGTGTTTTTTTAATAAAGTAAAAAAACTCCTTGATTTGAACACTCACATATCAGCTGATCAGTCAAAATGACCAAAACAAAAAATGAGATCATATGTTCCAAGATGCTTTACATTTTATAATTTCTTTCCATTATATTTTTTAAAAATGTAATTTTTGAAAGCATTTATAAGGATAACTTTTGGGGAGATAAAATCTAAAATGGGCTACTTCAATCTCATAAGCCATTTGCTATTAATATTTTCAAGCCTGAGATCAGTCCTGTGAGAACTGTAGTGTATTGAGAGACCTTAAAGGACAGTTTTACAGAACAGCAAAATAATGTTTCTTTCCTACTGGGACCTTTAGCCACAAGCTGAGCCCAAAGTAGTGTCAATGAGCTGATCTTCAAGCTGGGATTGAAACTTCAGGCTTCTGTAAGTCCACCATTTGAATATTATTGAAATAACAAAAACAAATAATGAAACTAAAACTGGTGTTGTTCCTGCACCAAGGCAATACTTGCAATTAGTGAAAAATGGGAGCATTTTAATTATATGAAGATCTTCTGCATTATGAATTTCAGCCTTTGATATAATCTGTGTCTAAGGACAGCACTGGAAAAATTCCCTCTCTGTTTCAAAGTCTGACTGAAGTGAACTCTCAAAACACTGTCTTTTGTGAGTTCCATTAGAGGCTGAGATTCCCAAAGAAACAATTGTGTCCAGCACTCAAAGTCCTGTGCTCCAGAGAACATGTCTTTGAACAAAGCAAGGTGCATGCAGATACTGAGATATGGAGATCCCTCCCGTGATTGTTTCCCACCAAGGTGGGAAGATAATCTAGATGCTGTTTCACCTGGAAATGGCATCAGCACTTGAACAGCACAAGTTTCTCAAGAAAGGGGATCAGTATTCTGAGGAACCCCATGAATGAAAGAGAACAGTACATTACTATAAACTTTACTTAATAGCATGAGTATTTAAACCTCTATTTTTTCTGCAGTAAAACTGTTATTATCTGAACTCTCCATCTTGATTCCAAATATCTGGATTTTATCAAACTCACTCGTTTTTGAGAAATTACAAAATAACGAAATCCATTTAGAAGGAGACAAGGAATAAAATCCTTCAGGAAAGTTATAGTTCCCTTTAAAAACCTGGAATGAGGCACCGATCTCCAGTGCCAGATTGCAACAATGGCAAAGGAAAAAGTCTTCAAGGAAAATGCTGACTTCATATCACACCTGATGGTAACAAACCCAGCTGCAGTTTCAAGCAGGGGAACAGTACTTCTCCCTCATCACTTTAAAGTCTGATCTGTTTTAAAGGTCCTGCTAAATTTGACAGTTTAAAGGGACATTAAATGGAATTGCTCCTTGTACCTTGTGTTATGCTTTAGCTCTGGGAGGAAAAACTCGGCAGTTTTGCTGAAGTGGTGCCAGGAGCGCGGCAATGTGCGCTATGCGTGATCATCCATTTGGGACAGGAGCGGGATGGTCACTTGCACAGACCTTTTATAGCCATCTGAAGATCAAATGACCTGCTGTGGTTCTAATCAGGGCTCAGCTTGGCAGGAACTGCCAAGAGGAAAAGGCCAAAGGAGAGAGAGAATTCAAAGCTCACATCATAACAGCAATCAAGTGGGGCCATAGTTACAGGCAAACCACAGAAATGAGCAGGGTAAAAGAATTATCCAACTATCACAGGCACATTAACGCTGGTCGCATTCCAAAGCACTCATTACAGCACTCCAGTGTGGCTCTCTGTACAGCTGGTCAAATAATGCTCATCAAATAAATGATTTGACAAATTTTGCAGAGTTTAAAAAATAAATTATCCAAAAAATGTGCTTTTTAAATTATTCCCACAGCTGTAGTCTTGGTCTTGCAAGTCTAGAAATATGTTCAAACTCTCCTCTTTCCCTGAGCTTTCTCACTCTCTTCATTTTCTTACTTCATGCTCCCCAGTTGCACCTTCTGAGCAGTCCTGTTAAAATCTCTGGGTGCACATTGCAGCCTTCCTAAGAAACTCAAAAGAGCAGCACAGTCTACATTGTCCAGTTCTGCTGTGCACCCCTAAATTTTAATAATAAATCAGCATGTCAGTGCATATGACAAAGCCCAGAACCACACCAGTTTCCCCCAGACAATTTAGGCATCCAGTGGCACTTCACCAGCACTCCACTGCCGTTTAGGGCACCATGCTGGTTTACACTGTGTGTGGATCTGCTCCATCATCACCATGACTCAGGGCAAGGCATATTTTAGAATGGGTCCTGCTTACTTGCCTGCCTGAGCGTCGTTCTCTGTTGTTTGGTACACTGGGATTTGTTAGCAAGTACAATTCTGCAAATTTGTATTTTCCCATGATAATCTCATTTGAATAAACAGCCTAAAAACAGAGCATATATTTGTTGACTCTAATGGATTTTAAAAAAAAAATTATTACTGGAGCCAAGAAAATGGCTTTTTATACATAACAATGCATTATGAGTGCTTGTCCCAAAGAAGTATGAAAGAATAGGTTCAGCAAATTTTTTTCT